TTGTTGATCACGACGGAACAGACGTGCTTATACCCGCGAGGGCACGGCTCGGAGCACTCCCCGGCGTTGAACTTGCGACACACCTGGGTTCCGTCTTTCAGCCGATCGCCCAACTGCGCGCCCTTGCCACCTGTCCGCTGGCTCCGCCCGACGCTCGTCGGCGGCCGCTGCGGCCCGGGAGCTGGCGGTGAGGGCGGGCTCCACATGACCTCGCGAGTCTGCAAGCCCTCGCGGTTTATCTTCCCGACGCTCAGCTCGCTGGTGCGGACCCTGTCCGTCCACCAAGCGCGCTCCTCCTCGTCCCGACGCACGACGTTAGGCAGCGCAATCGAGAACGGCATCGCACTGGCGTACTTGACCAACCGGAAATGGTAGGCCATCGCGACATCCAACGGAATCTGCACGAAATCCGTCGCATCCGAAGACGCCTTCTCTGGCGTCCCGGGCGCCGGGTCAATCGGCTTCACCCCAGCGCGCGCGTAGGCCACCAGAGAACGCTGGTGCAAACGCGATATAGGTTTTCTCAAGTCCTTCGCGGCGATCCGGATCTTCATTCTCATCGCACACGAATGTTCGAATCCTCAATTGCGCTGACCGCTTCCTGGCAGCCTCGCGGCATTCAGCACGTTTGCGGACCTTCCATACACCCATCATCGTCACCCTGGCGGCCTGCCCAGCTCCCTGCTGATCTTACTGACCAGCGCTTCGGACGGCTCACACTCCGCTGGGTGCGCCATCTTATACCGAGCGAAGAACTGCTCGCTCAATTCAGCGAGCTGCGGCGACGGCAATGGGACATCGTCGCTATCGTCCAAACCGCGCCTCTTCCGGGTCTCGGACTCCCGGGCGGCATCGCACACGGCTTTCCACGCCTGCCGCACTACGCGCTCGAACTGCGGCGCGGGCCAGGCAGGACCCCCCCCCGCGCAGGCGAAGGCCGCGCCTGGCGCACGCGGGACAGCTGTCCCAGCCTCCTCTCGAGATCTGGCACGCGCTCGAGGATCGGCGCCCACTCGTTCTCGCTCGTGACGGCATGCGCGAAATCGACCAACGTCTCTAGACCCACGGTTTCGACCAGGTGGGTGGCGATGCGCTCATCAAACTGATACTTCGCGGCCAGCTCCCTGAATTGTGCAGCGGCGTCGTGAGCGCCGACGCGCCCCGGCAGCGCAATGCCGTCAACTGACAAAGACATACCGAGAACCACACGTGTCGCTCCGCTAAACCTACTCTCTGGACCGCGTTCGAGCCCACCTCGGGGCGCGCATACGCATCCGTTAAGTTGGCATTCGCTGGCAGGCCCACGCGCCACTCCGCGCGTCTCCGCCGCGATGACGTCACCACCTCACGCCGGGGCTGCCCGGCCGCGCAACTTTTCACACGCCGCGCACACCAGGGCCCCCTCCGGGAGCGCCGGGAACCACTGCAGATCACTCAATCCATTCTGACATAGGTTCGTCACTGGCCCGAACTCACTGTCCGTCCAGGCTCTGGACTTTTTGAGGCGACGAATTACGGGCATCGCGACGTGATATCGAGGCCCCATAACCTCCCTTACCCGGGTAGCCCTCCCAGGCTCAGACTGCACGTACCCGATCGCGCCCCGCGGCTCGGGCGACGGGCCCACGGCTCGCGACGCGCGCGCGGATGATCCCTCCGCAACTTGCCTGACTGGCGGCGCGCAGTGCGCTGGCGCGCCATCTGAGCCCTTTACGTCACATTCACCCAACTCCGCGCCCTGCGCTGCCTCGTCACTTGGAAGCGCGGTCACCGCGCGACCGGCGCAGTCAACTCCCCGCGCTTGGAACGCGGCGGCGGGGGGCCCCCAAAGGGCACCTCTCTGCGAACTGCACGGGTTTTCGCGTCTCACCACGGTCCGCACCGAAACTTAAATACTCCATGGAACCTGGGGATGGAGGGACAGCCCTTGTATCGACATTTTATGATTCTATGTGGTTTCCCCGCATAGTATCCAATTTGCCGCCCACGCTCAGGGCCACTCAATACGCTGGGCGCGCGCATCAGACCGCGGTTCGGCCTGCGCGGCCCGCAATGGCAACCGACGACGGACTGGCGCGTGCTCACTCCAGACTTTGTGTCGCTTGTTTTGCCCCCGGCAACCTCTATTATTTTTTTTTTTTTTTTTCGGCGCTCTGCGTGGACTCGCAGGCGCAGGCAACGCGTTCCCACGCAAACCTCCCGGCGCTTTTAAAGGGAAATTAGGACACACAAATAAATACACACAAATAAAAAGATTCCCCATATTTTCCCATATTTTCTGGGTTTCTGTCTTCCCCCCCACTTCCCATATTTTCGCATATTTTCCTGGGAGTCGACGATTAATTGTGTCTGTGTGTTTTTTTCCCTCCTGAGCTTTACCGCGCCCCCCCCGCGTTGGACGCGCGCCCGGCGCTTCGGGGCCCGCCCCCCCCTCACGCTCTTACCCGCGGCGCCCCGCGGCAGGTCCCCGTAAAAGTGGTCGGAGTCGCGCCCTGGCGGCTTTACCCGCACCACTCCGCCTGTCCCCCGCGGGGCCAAGATTATCGGAGAAGACTCTGCCGCCTCAACTCCTCGACGACCGACGGGTGCAAGAACGCGGCCTTCTCACGAACGGTCGACACCGCCACCCGCTGCTGCGCCTCTTTCTCTAGGTCGGCCAACATTACTTTTCCTGGCGCAGAACTCGCCCAGCATCGCACTTGCTCCCACTGCACTGGGGCCTCCAGATCGGTCCGCAGGCACGACAACACACCGGCCATGTGCAGGCGCGTGCACATCTCGACTTGCCGCCGACGCGCATTATACACGATCGGCATCTGGTTCCGACAGGAGTTGTGTCACCCACCTCCAGCCAACCGGCCCGAGATGACTCTGGTTCCCAGTCTCAATTTTATCGCGCTCTGCCCCATTTGTAGAGCCACAGCCCGGCGGCAAATGTAGGAAGTCACATGAGATCAATACTGCGCAATCGTCCGCTAGCGAGCCTCGGGACTTCCTTCAGCGATCGTTAAAGGCACCCAACTTTCACCGGCGCGCCGGAAAATTGGATCGAAGACGAGCCCGTCGGCACGCCTTCCTGCTCGATCTTCCCGCGCGCCAACTTGTGCCAACCATCCACAAGCGTCAGCGGCGGACGCGCGCACTAGCACGCCTCGGCAAGCACCACAACGAAGGTCGCCCCTGTCGCTTCCATGTCCCCCCTCGATGCGGGCCGGAACCAGCAAAAATAAAACAGGACTGATCTCAAAAGGGCCTAGAGCGCAGAAGGATTCGTGTACTCTCACTGAACGACCGAATGACCACGACCGACGGACGAGCCGCGAGCATGACTTGCCCAGGCGTTCTCGCGCCATCCAGGAAATCGATCACATGGTAAATCATCTCGGGGTCGACGACAGTGGCCTGGGCCGGCGGTGCTACGGTGCCTGGCCTGAGCCGGCGGTGCTACGTGGCACAAGGCGAAACGCATCGTCCAGGCAGAAAGGCGCTTTCAAATGTACGCACATCCACTTCAAGGCGTTCCAGATCCTGACGCCGGACGCCCGTGCGATCGAGAGCTTATGCACGAACTCGGCGACTGCCATGGGTTGCCGCGCCAGACTCGTCGCCGGCCGCCCTTGCCGGCCCGCCCACTCGGCCCACTGCCCCCACACGCGCAAGGCCGTGCGCAGCGTCCCGGCTTCGAAATTACTCAGCCTAAACACCGCCGCGGACGAGACGTCGGCGAGCATCTCGGCCTGCGCCTCCTGCAACCCCTGCCCGAGGCCGCTTTCCGGGCGCCATTCAAGCGACACTCGAACTACGCTGACCGCCAGCTGAACGCGCCCCTCACGCTCTGCCGCCTCCGTCGCCACTGCGGCACAGCGTCTCGGCCGACCGCGGCGCGCGGCGGTAGGCCCACGCCCTTTCCCCGCCGCGGCCCCCGCGCTCAAGGCGGCCGCGGCGGCCGCCGCCGCGCCGCCAAATCGCCCCTCCGCGCAAATGCCATGCGCGGGCACCAGCCACGGCGTCACCCGCGCCACGTCCCGAGCCACGGCCCAGGCCGTGGGCACTCCACACTGCTCCGCCTCGTCCGTCGAGCAAAACAAATGCTCTAAATCGCCAGCCGACTCCAGTCCCTCTCTCTGCACGAGCGCAGAAAGGGACTCGCGCTCGGAGGAATCGACCCTCCAATCAAAGAACTCTTCGATGAAGAGCTCTCCGCGCTGCCCGGCCATCAAGCAGCACACAAGCAAGAAACAAACCAACAGCAACCGCTGTCGCCAGTCTCGATTGCTCCACACGAGCCAAATGCGCGCTCTGTATGGGCAGTCCCTGCGAGCGCGCGCGGGCGTCCCCTTCTGACATGATTATGGTTCCCTGACCCGAGCCTCCCCGAGCCTAAAGTCAACGCACAACCGCGGGCCCTCGGGCGGCGATGGTTGCGGGCCCAGCCCGACACCCCGGAGGGCGGGCAGCGCCCCATACCCACCGCGCGCCTCGAGGCCCCGCGGCGCGGCACCGCGGCGGCGGCCTTGGACGTGTCCAGGCGGAAAGAGGGTGAGCGAGGAGAGGGGAAGGGGGGCGCGCATCTTTTAGTGGCAAAGTCAAGGGGGAGGTGCCACGACACAATCACGCCACGGGGCACCGAATCACATGGTCGAGTCCCCGAAATACGCAGGTCGGCCCGCTCCCCCACAGGTAGTGCGAGGGCCGCCTGCCACCTGTAGTGTTGGCCGGTACACTCTAACTACCCCTGACTCGCCCTGCCCCGCGTGTCGCGGGCTTCTGCCGTTGGGGGGACGTGCGCCGCAACCGCTCGGTCCCGGGGCGGAGACAAGCGAACCGGGGACGGCGGGGGACGGGGACAACCCCCCTTTGCGTTGGTTGCAGCGAACGCCCCCCCCGGATGTAGCCTCTAGCGCCTCCAGGGTGCTCGCCGTGCTGGGCGTCGGCGCGGCCCTGCCAGGCGCGGCGCTGCGGCGGCTGCTCCAGCGAGCCAGCCGGGGGGGGGGCGCCAGCTAGCGGCGCGCGTCGGCGAGCCGCGACAGCGCGGTAGGGCCCGCGCGCGCGACGTCCAGGCCGAGCTTGCGCAGCGGGGCAGAGCGGACCCGCTCCTTTATGCCGTCGATGGGGACCGCGTAGAAGCCAACGACGACGTCGTTCGCGTCCAGCTTCGCGGTCTCTGGGGTGGGCACGGACTGCAGCCAGTCGATGGTCGCAGAGCCTCGGCTGCCAACTCCTCGAACGATGCAGGCCGCGTTGCAACGCGCGGCCCCTGGCGGCGCTCGCGGCGGCGTTCCCTGGCGCAGGGCCACGGCAGCGGTGCCGTGGGCGCGGGCGTGCGGCCGCGCTGCAACGCACAAGAGGCGCAGCAGCTCAGTGTGGCACTGCGTCGCGGCAGCCACGACGCCGGCGCGGCGGGTGCGGAGCCGCCCGAGCGTGACCTGCTTGTCATCCGAGTCGAACGTGATCGCGCCCAGGAGCGCCGCGAGGGTGCCTGCGTCCACGGAGCCCAAGCGCAGCGCGGTCAGGGCACGGCGTCGCCGGTCGTTGCGCGCCCAGTCCTCCTTGGCGGCCGCCACGGCAGCTGCCCAAGCCCCGGCGTCCATGCGGAACGAGGTGGGGGAACGCGGCTCTGCCGCACTGAGGCTGTAGCGCCGGGACAGCGCCGCTGCCTCGGCCTGCTTCTCCGGTTCTCCAGGTCGCGAGAAAGCGTCCGCGGGGTTGCTCTCGGACGCGACCCATTCGATCCACAATTCTACGCCGAGGACTCCCAGCAGGAGCCAGATCGCTCCGACGATGTCCTTGCTGTGATCGTCGTTGGCGGCGCCGCTGATGATGTTTTCAAGCGCGGGCGTGTTGTCCTCGAAGAGGATCAACCGGGCCCCGCGGAGCTCGTCGGGGCAGGTGAGGAGCAGCACCAGTACGGCGAGCAGCTCGGACTGTGTGTTTCGCTGCTTCTTGCCGACCCTCAGCAGCTCCGCGCACAGGTGCGATGCGCGCCGAGAAGCTGCGGCCGCTGCGTTGCGAGGACAACAGCATGCCCCCGATGGCCCCCGTGCCGGTGTCCATGTCCCATGACCCGTCGACCCATCCGAGGACGACGGGCCGCTGGTCGCCGTGGACGCGCCTGTGGTAAATCGGGCAGCGCAGCAGCGCCTTCCACCACGCCAGCGCGTCAGCGAGGCGTTCGGACCAGCCGCCTCGGTGCGCCGACACGTTGGAGGCGTATACTCGGCCGAAACGGCCGAACATTGCCGTGGTGGCGAAGCCCATCTGTCCTCCGAGTCGGGCCGCGTCGCGCTTGCTGAGGCGGCGCGCGCGGAGCGCGGAGTCCACGTCCGCGGCCAGGTCGTCGCGCCGCTTGACGGTGAGGCGCAGTCCCACCCAGTGCCCGGTGGAGATGACGTCCAGTCCGAGCAGATCCAGCACGGCCGCTGGTCCCTGGTTCTTGCCGTCCTTGAGCGGGATACCGAGCATGGCGTGCAGCTCCTGGAACACCCATTCGTGCAGGGCGGCCCACCTGGCCGGGGAGGCGCGGTGGAAATCGTCCACATACGCGTTCTGGGGCACGCTGAAGATGCGGCGGAGCGGGTGAATCACGCTGGCGGCGACGCGCGTGTACCCCCAGACTGCTCCGAAGGCCCCGAAGGGGAGCGCCTTGCGCGCGAAGGCGCGGAATCCGCCCTCTGGACCCACGGTGTCGTCCCAGACCAAGCACACCAGCAGTGGAATGTCATCTGGATGTACCGGCCATTGTCGGTAGGCCTGCGCGTGGTCGCCCTTTGCGATGAGGGGGACGCCGTCATCGCCCCACTCGTGGAACTCCTCCGCTATGAACGCGACCGCGTCGAGGAGAGAGGCGACGCCTGCCATCCTCATGCGCTCCTGGGTGGCTGCTGCGAGGTTCAGGCCGCTTGCCGTGGCGTCGTCTATGGGCCGGACCTTGTATGAAGTGGCCGTGCGGTTCTGGACGCGCGGGAAGCGCCGCGTTGGTAACCATCTGGCAAACGGCACGGTGGAGCGCACCTGGCCGGTGTGGTCGAGCCATACTTCCCAGGGCCCATCGAGCTTGCCCGACACGCGCTCGGCCTCGGTGACCCGGAGGACCTCGGCCATGTCTGGCTCCCGCTTAGTGTTCAGGAGCATTTCCCGAAGTGCGGCATCTCTGTTGTCCAGTGCCAGCTCGAGAGCGCTGTCCAGCTCGGCGGCGTCAGGCAGATCTGCGCTGTCGGTGTGCTCGTAGAGCCGCGTGTCTGGGAGGACGCCCCGCATGCGGAAGCCCGCCGTGATGTCGGCGATGACCTCCGTGTCGTCATGGCCGGAAGCCAGGAGCAGCTCCCTGTGCAGCGGGCCGTTGTATGTTGGCGGCAACGCGTCTTTGACGTGCTGTGAGAGGCCGGCGCGCCAGGCGCGTGTCGCATCGCTCAGGGATGCCTCGGCGCGCCTCCAGTACTGCACCTGCCCGATTACCCAGCGTTCGTAGTCGGGGCAGTCGCGCGCCCAGAGCAGTGCGCTGCGGATGGGCGCTGGCGGGCGCACGGCGGGCGGTTCCGCCCACTGGGGCGCGGGCTGGCGGTGTTGCCGGTCCCAGGCCATGTCCACGTGCTGGTTCGGCGAGATCGCCCGCTGCTGCTGTGTAAAGCCTTTAGCTGCTCTGCCTGGCGCGGCAGGGTGCTGTGGCGGGGGGGCAGTGTCCTCGGCGTACCACGGCACGGTGTCTCTGCGCGCGCTTTGCTGGCTGCGCGGGTCGGCGGGCGGCGGCGCGTAGGGCGGCAGCTGGTTTGTGTCGACGGCGTCGAATTCTTGTTCGGCCGCAGGGTCGTGGAGCCTCGCTGCATAATCGACCATGGTGATGCCGCTGCAGGTGCTGCCCGTTGGGTCTGGGGCATTGGTGGTGCCGCCTGAGGACGCGAGGGTGCCCGCGCCGCGGTGCTGAGGCGGGCTGGTGCTCGTGCGCGGGCGTGGACCTGGGTCGCCCTTCGTGGGCTGTGCGGTGGCGGCCGCGGTGGCGCGGCTCTGCGGGCTGGTGCGCGCCCGCGGGTTGAGCTTCCGGCGCTGGTCCCGGCCGGTCGCCCCAGTGTGAAACTACGGTGGGTCCCGCTGTGGACGGCTTTGAGCCCAGTCGTCGGTGGCGGGGCGAAACTGTCGGCATGCTGCCGGTGGGGGCGCGGCTGGGTCGGTCGCGCCGCCGCGCGGTGCCCGTGGTGCGCGGGCAAACGGCGGGGCGCGGCCGCTCGCAGGACCGCCTGTCGTGCTCGGCTCCGGCTGCCCCTGTTGCGCGGAGCCTGCAGCCCCTAGTCACTCGTGGCGATGCCAGCAGCGGTCGCCGTGCTGGCAATTCCCTTCGATGTGCCTTACGCACCACGCTCCTTTGCCGCCTCCTTTGGTCGGCTCGGGCTGGCCCGCCGCGGGGTGTGCGTGCGCGGTGCCTTTGCGCGCGCCCTTGCCCTTATTGCTTGCCCCGGCCGGCTTGCCCTTGCCGGCGGCTTCGCCTTTGTCGCCGCGGTGTTCTGGGCCTGCGGGCGCAAGCTGCTGCAGCCGGTTCTGCAGCCGCTGTGCTTTCGAGAGGCGCCTGCGCTTGGTTGGTGGTTGGCCCGCGTCTGTCAGGGCGAGGGGCGGCGCGGTCATGATGCTGCCCGCCATGCCGGCGTGGGCGGCTTGGGCGCCGCCGTTGGCACCGAGCGCGGGTGCCCGGGGCTGCGCGACGAGACGCGGCGCCATGGCGAGTGCGACGTCGAGGTCGCTGTTCTCTGGGGGCATGGACGCGAGGGTCGCGTCGTCGATCGTGCCCCCGGCCTTCGACGCCTTGCGCCACTGGTTCTGACACACCAGGTACGCCTCGTAGTACTCTGCGACAGAGAGGTTCCGGTACCCCGGTCGCGGCGCGCGGTTCTTGCGGACCTTCGCCCAGAACCTCTGGTGGAAGACGTCCAGGGACTTGATGTCCTTGACCCACCCTACGAGAAAGATCGAGTTCTCGATGATGTACGCCCACGTCTCGAGGTCTTCCAGCGTGTCAGGTGGGGCCTCCTGTATGGCTGGGAGCCTCCAGGCGAGCGCCCCGTTCTGGACGGGCCCCAGGAAGCTGGCGAGGCCGGTCTTCTTGCCGATTTCCTCGGATTGGACCTTGTCCGCAAGCAGGGGGACGAACTCCTTCTGGACGCGGTGCAGGCGCTCGTAGCGGCCCCAGAGGCGGGCGCTGGGTAAGCGGGCGTCCTCGACGTCGTGACGCCTCGCCTCGAAGAGGGCCTTCAGCCGCTTCTCGCGGTAATCCGGAATCAGCTCGTAATAGTCTTCGTGGCCCGGATCCTTCGCCTCGATGGGCGCCACCTCCTCCTGGTCGGGAGGCTTGTTCGCGGCCTCTGTGCTGGCGGCGTAGCACTTCCGGTAGAAGCCCAGCGTCTTCGCCCACGCCGCAGACCCCTTCTTCACGATCTCGGGGAGCGCGCCCGCGACGGTTTCAACGAACATGATGTCCACGGGCTTCACTACGGTGGCGCCCGCGTGGTCGCGCAGGTACTCTGGGGTGACAGAGTCGGCCACCGTTCCGTGGTCAGTGAGGCCATTGTTGGTAACCCACGCCTGGACCTCCGCAGGGAGCGCGGCGCACGCGTCGGCGAAGGTGCTCGACATCTTCCCGCGGTTCGAGTCGGTGGTGTTCGCAGCGCCCGTGTAGCTGGCGCTGCGCTTGAGCACGATATGGCGGCTGCGGGCAGAGTGCCAAAAAGAATCTTCTGGCTGGCCCGCCCCGGTGGTTACGATGCCCCGGGGGGCTCGCAACCACCAGGAAAACGCGGGCCAGCTGAACTCTACCGGCTTGGTGGGGCGCCCCGCACGCGGTGCCCGTCGCCTCCCCGGCGCTGCCGACGGCGGGCCGTTGGCCAGCCGCACGCCGCGGCGAACGGCTGGCTAACCGCACCGCAGCAAAGACGCCGGCGGGGGCGGAGCCGAGGAGGCGCTTGCACACGGCGCGGAACGACCACCCTTGCCTCGGAGTCTGATCGGAAGACCGTGCCGCTTGCGCCCGCCGCCCCAGCGCGCCGGCGCGCCGGCGCGCGGGAAGGCCTGGGACGGCGGGCGCGCGGGCGCGGGCTTCCTCCGCTCCGGGAGACCGCTTCTTCGCGGACTTGCCTTGGCTCGCGGGCGGCGCTTCTGTTCGCATGGCCTACGCCTACGCCTCCTTGACCCGGCCGACGGCGGGCCGCTGGCCAACCATCTCCCGGAGCAGGCGGCTGGCTAGCCGCCGCGCGACAGCGACGCCGGCGAGAAGCGGGCGA